AAGTGCAACAAAAGTACTGAATACTGAACAGTAATTCATGATGTCCATAGCAGCATAGTGTGCTACGTAAAATTTATATTTACATTTTTTTTATACTTCTATTTTTTTTTTTTAAATACATTATATTTTACATAGGTTGACAAGCCTGATTTACATACAGGTACAGGTAATTTTTTTTTTTAGATTCTACAATTTCGATGCGGGCCCCTAGCGCCATCTGGTGGCCCCCCAGGGGGCCGTGGCCCCCAGTTTGAGAACCACTGTCTTAGACTGACATCAAGAAATTCGATTTAGTACGACTTTAGTTAGACTAACAAGTTTACATGTACTTTAAAAGTCTAGTTTTAGTCAGACTAACACAATAATTCGATTTTCGTAGTGTGCATGTAAATGTATTGAGTGTCATGATGCCTGAACATAGGCTAGGTGGTGGTTATTGTGGTGGTGGGGTGTTGAGTGAGTGTCCTCCATTGGCACCATATCCAACACTGTTTTCGTGCCTCCCTGGATCAGCATTTGAGCATTAAGCGAGCCACATTGAAGTCACATTGAAATGCATGCGAAGGAGGCCTGAATGCAAATGGCAGTGGGGGTAACAGTGTCAAAGTGGAAACCCAGTGCATACCCAGTCTCTGAAACAATCACCCATTGAGTGAGCCTTTTGTTCTGGAATTTTTTATATATAGCAGAGGACTGGCCTTCAGCAGTAATGGAATCTTTTGGGCAAGTTCTGTGCAAACTGCCAGCTTTCTGAAGCTAAAACTGTATAATGTTGGAAGCACTAGATTAGATAGGTGCAGTAGGGTGAAGAGGGAGGAGTTTGGAAAGAGGCATGGTTCAGCTTCTCCATGCAACATGTAAATGAGGCTGCATATTCTTCGTTGTATTCCCTCGACTTTTGGGAATACATGTGGTTTTGGGATTGGTCTGCCGCCATAGACAGATTAATGGATCTTTTTAAAACTTTGCAGAGGCATTGTACAGCTGATGAAGTGGAACTGGTTAAATTTTGAGACAGATTGCCCCAAAATTGAAGCAGTGCCAGATAGTGATAGCAAAAAAGGTATGGTTTTGACGCTTGATCTATGTCATCTGCTTTCACCCTTCCCTTTGCTGCAACGATGCGGCATGGCTTCTACGTGATTTGTCTCAAAATTTTACCATTTCCAGGTGGGCACCCGTACAATGGCTTTAAAAAAGATCTGTCAAGCTGTTAAGGTCTTAACGACCATTCCACAGGTGC